CTGACTGGTGAGTCTTGCCCACATGCTCAGGGTTTAACTGATTGCCACATTTGGGGCCGGGAAGGAATTTTCCTCCAGCGCAGATTGGCAGAAGCCCTGGAGGTTTTTTTGCCTTCCTCTGCAGCGTGGGGCACGGGTGACTTGCTGGAGGATTCTCTGCACCTTGAGGTCTTTAAACCACAATTTGAGGACTTCAATAACTCAGACATAGGTTAGGGGTTTGTTACAGGAGTGGGTGGGTGAGATTCTGTGGCCTGCGTTGTGCAGGAGGTCAGACTAGATTATCATAATGGTCCCTTCTAACCTTAAAGTCTATGAGTCTAAATAAAAGGAAGTTCTTCTTCACACAGCACACAGTCAACCTGTGGAAGTCCTTGCCTGAGGAGGTTGTGAAGGCTAGGACTATAACAGGGTTTAAAAGAGAACTAGATAAATTCATGGATGTTAAGTCCATTAATGGCTATTAGGCAGGATGGATAAGGAATGGTGTCCCTAGCCTCTGTTTATCAGAGGGTGGAGATGGATGGCAGGTGAGTGATCACTGGGAGGGATCAAGTATCAGGGGGTAGCCGTGTTAGTCTGTAGCTACAAAAACAACAAGGAGTCTGGTGGCACCTTAACGACTAACTGGGAGGGATAGCTCAGTGGTTTGAGCATAGGTCTGTTAAACCCAGGGTTGTGAGTTCAGTCCTTAAAAGGGCCATTTAGGGTTCTGGGGCAAAAATCTGTCTGGGGATTAGTCCTGCTTTGAGCAGGAGGTTGGAGTAGATGACCTTCTGAGATCCCTTCCAACCCTGATATTCTATGATTACCTGTTAGGTTCACTCCCTCTGGGGTACCTGGCATCAGCCACTGTCAGTAGATAGGATACTGGACTGGATGGTCCTTTGGTCTGACCCAGTGTGGCTGTTCTTATGTAAGGAGCAAGGATTTAAAATAGTTTGATGTACCATAGCTATTATTTAGTGCATATAGTCCCTGTTAACTATAGTGACAAGATGTTATCCCATTTCTACTCTGGAGGAAGTATGGGACTGTATTTTATCATGCAGCTTTTTATTGGGGTTGTTGCTTCAATCAATCCCCATCTCCTCCTCTCCCCACACTCTGCAGAATGGGCCCTGCAGGCAGTGCCGCCTTGTGAGTCAACAGCATGAAACAGGGACAAGCAGAGGCATAAGTAACTATGGTAGGAAACTCACAGAGAACTTTTCTGGGTTAGAGCAAAGGGCCCCGCACACTTTGGGGACAGGATATTTTCACTGGGTCACTATCCCAGCTGGATGTGCGCAATAAAGTTGCTAGTTCTTCACTGTAATATTGACCGTTATTGTAAGCTACCTACTGAAAGCAGAAGGGTATAAGCCTAGGGAAGTGCAGGAGGTGATGGGAGAAGAGAGGGGAAGTCCTCCCCCTGTGCTCTAGACACACCTTTTCAGCTGAGATGCACTTTGTTTAGAATTAGAGTATATTACATTATTTTTCAAGAGAAAAGAAAATCGAGGCTGTGGAGCAAATTTCAAATGCCAGTTTTTCAAAAGACTCTAGCCCCAATATGGCATGCTACCACTACTTCTACTAATGATCAATTAACGGTCTTATACAGTGTAAGTGCTTTTCATCCTGAGATCTCAAAGCACTTTACAAATGAGGTAACTATTATTATCCCCATCTTTCAGATAGAAAAACTGAGGCACAGAATGATGAAGCAACTTTCCGAAGGTCACTCAACCAGCTGGTGGCAGGGACAGGAATAGAACCCAGCGTCCCACTCCAGCGTGCTATGCATATTTTTGAAGCAGATGTGGCCCTTTAAAGTTTTGTTTTACATTAAATGTCCCATACGTTAAAGTAGCTGAGAAATCTCAGTGCAAACGTGGGCGATTTAGGAAATCAGCATTGACTTTGGCTGAGGCTTTTACTTAGGGTGACCAGATGTCCCGATTTTATAGGGACAGTCCCGATATTTGGAGCTTTGTCTTATATAGGTGCCAATTGCCCCCCCTCCCCCTGTCCCAATTTTTCACCCTTGCTATCTGGTCACCCTACTTTTACCACCCTGACCTTGTCTTTGTGATTACTGTGCTGGACCGGAGGTGGCTGTGCTGGGCACCAGGAGAGCACAATATGCTGTTTCTCCTTCATTATGTGGAGGCCAGTGAGGGGCGTATTAGGTTCAATAATTTTACCTGCACTGAACTGGAGAGGTTTGGTGGCGCTCCCTTCCCAGCACATTTTTTACACCTCGGACGAGAGCAGCAGGGCTCTGTAGGTCGGGATTGAGGTGGCTTCACAGCACAATGTGGGTCGCCCAGGACCAGAGTAGCACGGGCTGCACACCAGGGCTGAAGTGCATTGGCAGAGTGGTGTGGGAGACGCGGGCCCTGCTGCAGGGTGGGGATTAAGAGGCATTATACCAGTGCTATATGGGGCTTCACATGTGCAATAGCAGGGGACGCTGCAGAGCAGGACAGAAATGCTTTGCCAAGCGCTGCCAGGGGAGCCCAGCAGGAGGAAGGGGAAGGATGGAGGTGCATTGGGGGAGACAAGCCTGGAATTAGGGTTAGGTGCAGGCTAGGATTGAAATCCAGCCATGCTTCACTGTGTGTGAAAGCTCCCTCGGGTGCCCCGTCCTGTGAAACCCCAGCGGTTCTGCTCCGCTGGCTTTACCCCTCAGCCTGATTCAAAGGCTCCTCTACCTTTAAGAGTCAGGGGGGAAGGGTAGTGGGGGGGGGGGAATCCAGCAGCTTCAGCCCAGCCCTATAGACTCCGTCCTTGACTCCGCCCAGTAGCAGTTTCCTCTCATCCGATTGGCTGCATCCGCTATTGCACCGCCCCCTCCCTTCCACGAGCCTGACTTCTGGCTGTCACCCCCTATCAGTCACAATGCCGCAGCTCTGATTGGTTGCCCTGGCCCTGCTGGGGGGGGGTCTCCTCCTCCAGCTTGGAAACTAGTTAGTGTCAAGCCCCCGGTGTTACATTGTAGCCAGTCAGTGGGAGTTACCTGGGGGGGCAGCATGGGCACCCGCCCGCCGGGGGATCTACAGTGACCTGGGGACACGCTCTGACCCCTGGGGCAGATCGCTGGCCAGTGAGTATCTGTGTACATTCATCTCCATCCCCAGCCCTGCCCTAGTGGGGGGAGGCAGCCTGAAGTGTGGAGAGAGACTCCCGGCTGTGAGAGCTGGTTCCCAGCGCCTGGGATAGCGCAGGAGAGGGTGCAACAAACTCTTGTCTGTGCGGTTGCAAACATGTCATTGGCAAAGTGCTTTGAAGAGGGGGGATCTGGGAGGCAGATCTCAGCTCGGGAGGAGGGGAGAGAAAGGGGCAGTGCGTGGTAGAGCTTTGATCGCGAAGAGACAACGGAGGTGAGGGCAGGATGTTTTCCCAGGTTTTTCTCCTATTTAGTTCCCGTCAGTAAATCATTCCAAGAGACTCTGAGAAAAGTAGCTGCAGTTAATGATGAGAGCCAGAGAGAGATTAGTTGATGTCTTTCCCCTCTTTCAGGAGTGTTTGGATAATCTTGGAAGAACACTTCCTGGGGTGGTTTTTGTTGTTCTTTTTATTGAGCCTGGGTGGAGATTAATTTTACAGATTGGGGTTTAAGGCTGGGGGGAGGTTTAGAAGAAAATCCTTTTTTTCTCTCCGACTGACCCTGTAGTACGGAATTTGCTACAACAGCCACTCAGTTTACTACACATATTTGTGTCTGAGCACCTGAATGTTCAGGTTTTGTCTGCCAAGCCCAAATC